ACACACAAACCCCTCCACCACGATAAGGTAGCGATTCAAGGAGGAGCTAATTTTATTATTTATAAACTAAATAAGAAACAAAAGACATTCTCAAAACAAGATTAATAATTTTATTCTTTGTGTTCTTAGTATTTCACTGAATCAGCATTCTCACCAATAATAAACAAAATGACCAACAGCAATAGCATATATTGCTTTGGAACAATCCATTAACTTGCTTCATGAACAGTAAAATAAAAAATCTAGATCCTAACTAAATGACATGTCTTACCATACCTTATTCAATAAAACTTAAAAATATATAAATTAATTTAGAAAGAAAAGATGCAATATTGTGTCAGACTGGCTGTTTGAACGTTTCTTTGCTTCCACAGGTGGATGTTCAGAATCCATCGGTGGGTTAGTCTCGGGGGCAGCACATACTACCCTCTGCCCCTTCAACATCCAAAAGACACCATCTGACTATGACTTTCTACTTCCCCAACCAGGTAGCCCTCCCTAACAGTGCATGTACCTTCTCTCACTCAGCCATAGCTTCCTGTGCATGTCAGCTGTTTCATGCTGCCTGTCCTGTCTGTGTTCCTCCTGCAGACATGACAATGCGTCTGTGCCGTTTGCTGTGCTAACTATAAGTGCCCTTTGAAAAATGTTGTGTAACTCATTGTTTTTGTTCAGTAAACACAAATGATTACTATATAACACGATATTTAATTACACAATTTTATTCTGTGAAGTTAAGTGTGGTACACTAATTATTGGAGCCAATTTAATAAGCTCCCTGCTATGGTATGATCTGATTATGAGCAGGAAGCATGTGTATGTCTTTGTGTCATGAATGGATGGGTATGTGTGAGTGAGTGAATGGCCTGGGTGTGTGTGTGTGTGGGCACGGCTGGGCACAGCCCAGTGTTTGAAGCTCGCTGTCCCTTTGGGACATTGCTGCAGTTCCCCAGGATGTGGCCCTGCCTTTGGTTCCAGGGCGTGTGGCTGGATGTTCGGGCGTGGTTGTTGATCTGCTTCTTTGGCGTGGGGGTGGTTCTCCGGAGCCTGGGGCCCTGGGGGTGTAGTGACCAGCCTCTGGTGGAGCTGGCGTATTTTGGCTTCTCAAGTGACAAAGACACATACACTGACACGAACACACACGCACAATATCTATGAAAAAAAATACATTTCCACTCGCCCCTGCGGGTGAGCTGTCCTTCAAGATCAGGTCCTCTACCAGAGGCCTGGAAGCTTGAGGGTCCTGCGCAGTATCTAAGCTGCTCCTAGGACTGCGCTCTTCTGGACAGAGATCTCCAATGTTATGTATGTTCCCGGGATCTGCTGGAGCCACTCGCCTAGCTTGGGAGTCACTGCACCTAGTGCTCCGATTACCACTGGGACCACCGTCACCTTCACCCTCCACATCTTCCTGAGCTCTTCTCAGAGCCCTTGGTATTTCTCAAGCTTCTTGTGTTCCTTCTTCCTGATGTTGCTGTCATTCGGGACCGCTACATCGATCACTATGGCCGTCTTCTTCTGTTTACCACCACTATGTCCGGTTGGTTAGCCACCACCATTTTGTCTGTCTGTATTTGGAAGTCCCAGAGGATCTTAGCTCGGACATTCTCCGCCCTTGGGGGCCTCTTCCATTTTGACCTTGGGACGTCCAGGTTATACTCAGCACAGATGTTCTTGTACACTATGCTGGTCACCTGGTTATGCCGTTCCATGTATGCCTTGGCTGCTAGCATCTTGCACCCTGCTGTTATACATACATGTATATATATCTATATCTATATCTATCTATCTATATATATGTATATATATATATATATATATTAGGGGTGCAACGATACACAAAATTCACGGGTCGGTTCGGTTCGATACTTTGGTGTCACGGTTCGATATTTTTTTGATACAAAAAAATGTTCATGCTTTTTTAATTTGTCATTTATTAAAATTATAAATATATATTTTAACTCAAAAGTACAGTTTTAAATGTAATGTTGCTGAAACAACAAAGTAATAAAAAAATTAATTATCTGATGGAGAAATCACTCATCTTTGGAAAAGAGAGTTTATTACCTGATATGTTTAATATGGTGCTGAGAATATAGCCCAGAAGAAGCGTATAGTATAGCTTTTATTTTGGAAAGAGCCATTTCTCTGTAATAAACTCTGAAATTTCATGTTCAGGCATTTTACTTTAACTGTGATGATGTCATTCCAGAACTCCAACATATGGTCTTCATTTGAATACTCAGATATATCTGACTGATTATAATAATTTTTGTATATTTGATGTCTTAGCACCACCTCAGGGTGTAGAAGAGTCACACATTCATGCCGATTTCAGCCTTTTTGTACTTTCTTTCCCAGTCCTCCAAGCATGCCTTTAGTATGTAATCCGTAGGACTGCAAGACTGCACATAGTTTAGAATTCTTAGTCAGCTAACTCCTCATAGAATAAGTAGATACTGTCAATCAGGACCAAGCAAAAAACCCCAAAACAGAACTCTAGCATCTGGCTTGTGTTCCCTTACAGTATTTGAAGACACCTTAAACAGCTGCCCTCCATCCCAGCCTCCTCCTCCTCCTCCACCTGTGAGACACAGCTTTACTGAGCCGCCCTCATCACCCTCATCCTGTAACTCTTCCATGTCATCCAACTCTGTTATCACTCAACTACACATGCCCCCCTCTGGACACGAGCATGTCCTGTTAACTCCAGGTAAAGTTTTTCTTTTAAAAACAAGCTAAATAAATCGTTTTAGGGCATTATATTTCTCAGTGTAATAAGTGTTAAACTTATTATTTACAACATTGCTTTGCTCGTGTTGGCTTGTGTGCCTGACTTTCTCTGTTGTCCAGACTCAGTTTTTGGAATGGTGAACAGTGCTGCTCCCTCGCATCCAGCCAAAAGGCAAAAGGACAATGTGAAAAGCTCCAGAGGCATCCTGGAGTACAACCATCCAGGTACAACCTCTCACTAAAGAGACCATCCTGTCTCTTTAGTGAGTGTTCACTGAGCTCATGGGCAATTAGTAATACTGAAAACACAAATTTTTGGTTAAAAGGTTCAAAGAAGAAAAGGTGTTTTTCATGTGTTGACTCGAGAAATCTCATCAACATGGATTCTTCTTTATGTCCCTAGCAACTTTTCAATGAAGACAGCAAGACTGCTTTTGTACAAATAGGCTTGATTCCTTTCAGTCAGAGGAGTAGAAATAGGGCTGCTCGATTATGGCAAAAATGATAATCACGATTATTTTCACTGAAATTTAGATCTCGATTATTTGACAATATTTATTTAACAATAACAATGTATTGAGTAATGGCTTAAAAGATTGTCAAAAAATAATATAAAATAGTGTGCAAATACTGATAACAGTGTTATAATGTTTGCAATATAAAAAATAAATGAAAAATGTAAACATCTATGTTTAGTGAACTTTGCAGTGTTGCTCTGTGGTGCAGCTACGACACCGTAGCAAAGTTTACACACTGTGTCTACCTGACTCCACGAACCCATAATGTTTCCACACCACTGGAGGTTTTTTTTTTAACCTCTCTTTTCAACCAACGGCAGTCACTCTCCTCTCCAAATAACTTCTGCTTAGCTTTCCGAGCTTTCCTCGGGTCCTCTTAATTGTTGTGACGCGTGTTCGAAATGCAGAGAGGTGCGCTCAATTTGCCACACGGAGCAATGCGAGAGTAAAGCACGAGGGAGGTGCTAATAATCGGCTCAATAATTTGTAATGATCGTTGAAAGCCCAGATCGTAATTTAGATTAAAATTCGATAAATTGAGCAGCCCTAAGTAGAAAGGCAGTGGAACATCTAGGCGATTTCTACATGATTAGAATCTCATGACTTCATGAAAAATGTCTGAAATCTGAAGGTGCAGGAAAAAGTCAGTACGATGATAAGCAGTGTTTAGTTTTCTCCTTCCCAAGTTTTCCACTGACATCATTTCTCTTCTCTTCCTCCAAGTATCACTGGACTGTTTGCAGGCACCAGCGAGGCCACCCAAGCCATATCCGAGGAAGATTCCTCCAGAAATACAACCAGAAAAACCACACAGCCTGGAGCTGGAGAGTGAAGATGCAAAGATAGCCAAACTGATGGGCGAGGGTTTCGCTTTTGACGATGTGAAGCGAGCACTGATGATTGCTCAGTACAAAGTGGATGTGGCCCGAAACATCCTGCGAGAATTTGCCTTAGTGGCCCCCAGACTCAACCTCTAGTCCTAACAGAGTGTGAAAGTGGAGCACAGCGATGAAGCCGTGCCTCTAAAAAGGGCTTCTTTATTCTCTTTGTTCTCAGAATTTTAGGGGAAAATAGTGAGGGAAAGAAACAGAAATATTTCAAGGGAGACTTAGTTTTTTGTTGCCAAACAGAGATGACACGCACAACAAAGTGGCTAAAACCAAATCACTGCAGAGCACAGAGAATCAAAAAAGGGAAAGATATGGATGTGAATGATTAAATCTGTGAAAAAAGAAGAGGCTTGTTATGTTTACAGTGAACTTTGCCAGTGCTGGCCTCTGGATTTAATTCTTCTGTGGGTCTGGGTGCATAGACCAGATCATGCTACTGCTGCTACTGTCGTATCACATTACTCAGATCTGAAAGATTCTTATAATAGCAAAACAGTTTCAGCTGCACGTTGTCAGAGGGTCAGTTTTCATAACCAGTGGGGTGAGCCTTTCTCCAAGATGTTTCTTCTCTAGCTGCTTTCCACCCTCTCCTCCATTTAGTGCCTTCTGTTTTACTTCCTCCTCCTCTTCCCGTATGTATTTTTCAGAATACTCCATTTTTTGCCCAGATTTTGACATAGTAATTGTACTACATGTAGAGGAATAAATACTTCATTTGGACAAGAAAAGCAGAGAAGCATGGGAGGGCTAATTATGCTCCTCGCTTCTGTTCCTACACCGGGGGATGTTTATTATTATGTTTTTCATTTTTGGGCAGCAAGCCTAGGAATGTATTTGTTCTCCATAAGTGACCTTTACCTTTTTTCATTCCCTCAGGCCTAGTTTTTTTCTTTAAGTGATGCTGTGTTTAATGTTTGTGGATGTTTGATTTGTCTGTGTCTAAAGCCAAGTTTAAAGAAATGACAGGAACGGGTGCAGTTCCATAAAACATACATATCTGTTAGATCTTAAGAGATGAGACAATCCACAGCCACCTGTCTCCCACTGTCTCACACTGAAAATGTTCACATCCACACATGATGGAGGAAGCACTCTCAGCCTGATTTTGAGAGAGTGTGACTTGATAGCTTGCACGTGAACACAATGGAGAAGAACAAAATACTGCACAGGTTTCAAAACGCAAGACCAATTATATGCACAGTCATTGTAATGTTAAAAACCTTTACCTCACAATATGGCATCTGCTACAGGAAAAAAAGCATAAAAACTTGTAGCAGTTTGTGAAGCACATGGTGCTTCACAAACTGCTACAACAACTTCAGTGTTAATCAACCAAAACAACCACAGGTTAAAGCCTAAACCAAGAAAAGACACAATAGTGTCATAATAAAGAAACTTATCACCCTCGGCACCCTGAGGCTAACTAAGCAGTGTTTCAGGGTTTCTTTATCACAAAGAAAAGTTTAAAGCCTAATCTTGAAAGTGCAGTGCCTGTCTCCTAAATCCAAACTGGATGATCTGCTGCCCATTCTGTTTTTCAAAAGTTACAATTTTAGCCAAACACATGGGGTTGCATATTAAAAGATATCTGGTGTAAAACTCAAATCAAACATCTTGTGCTTCCTAACGTGGTGATCCCTTTGTAATAAGGGAGCAGCTGAAGACAGCTTTTATACAGAGTATGCAGACCATAAAATCGAAATTGTATGGACTGCAGTGACCTTTCCCTTCAGGGGGACTAGTTGAACCTAACAATTCCACATATTCACAGAATCCACTGTAGGAGTTGGGTATTTGTGTCTTTAATATGTCAAATATCTGAAATTCGATGATAATTTCACCTCATAATTTGAGACTGTGATAAAATTTTACTTTCCAAAGTAATTTTTGAGATTTCCTGAAAAATTTCTTTGAAGAAAACAAGCTCTCAGGTGATGTGACACGTTGTAAATCGTTTATCTAGGTGATTTCTGTTCTTTAAGACCTATTTTGATATTTTTCTGTAATTGCTTTCATGCATTTGTCAAACCTGCGGATTTGTTGACATCGTGTCTTATCATATGAACAATTTATCCTTTGTTCTGAGTTTTTAAGTCAGTAAATCAAGACTCCTTAGTACAAAAACAAACAACCGAGGGCAAAAAGTTGAACTGTCCTTAGATTAAATACTGTCGTATTTATACGTTTAATCTTTGCTTGCATAGCATTCGCAGACAGCATGCTGCCTAGATTAAACTAGGTCCTATTTTCCTGTTTTCACGTCCACATTCCAATTTTATGGTCATTCACTGTTAGACTATCAAAATAATCAGAGTTGATAAGTGATAGTGTTTCATTGTTTGTTTATTTTTCACAGAGCCCACTCTGATTGAGGCTCCTCCCTTTTCAAATGGAAATAAAATGGTTCAGTCAAAACTTTGTTATACCGTAAATACAAGAAAATGATATTCACAAATCTACTAACACAGCTCACTGGCTTTGTGTGTTAGTCTTTAAATGGTCCAGTTGTATTTATAGTGTGAGTGTGATCCCCAGCATGAAGGCCTTTTTTTACTTGAGTATTTAGTTCATATTTTGGAACAAGCCAAGGTTTTTAACAGGCTTCTCCATGATAAAGTTCAAGAGACTCACATAGCTACCAGATTAACATGCAAAAATGTGAATGTGGCTCTACCCCAGCCTAGTTCATGTATTAATGGAGACAGGGAGTTTACACATATCTGGAACCACAACACTGATATTCCACATTCTGATATGCCATTTAGTGGCATTCCCCCTTAACTCGATGGTTTGCTTTTGCAGTGGTTCTTTTGTATAGCAACCATCTTTCCTAAGCTCAGTATTATCCATTCTGTTGGACACCCTTGTGATGGGCTTAAATAACCTTTGGTTGCAAAGGGCAATTTTAATGTTCTGAATTCATTGACATATCATTAATATGTCAATGAATTCAGTGAAAGTGCTCTAGTGAAAGAAATGTATTGATAATATGTCATGCATAATGTGCAGTGTATGTTTATATTTATGTTATTCATGCTTGATTGGTTGATTTTTTTTTAAATCAATAATAAACAGTCACAGTTACCTATTAAATGGTTTGTGTTCATGTATGCCAAGGTTATTAACCCTAAATCTGATGTGTGCATGCCCTTTCACAGCCCTTTTCTGACAGCTTGTGTTTAAAATACACTCTTTCAGCCAGTGGCTTCTAGTGAACATGCAACAGTAAAAACAAAGGTATCCATCCTCTTGCGCTTATTCAAGTCAGGCTCGTGGGGCTGGAGGCTCTCCCAACTACTATAGAGCAACAAAGCTATATCATCAGTAATTATGACACAGAACTTCCCTCTGACCACAAGCTACTCAAGTCAGATCAGGAGAAAAGTGTTTGAAAGTGATTGGAGGTACACAATTTAAAGGAATGTTGAAAGTTATGCATCAAACTGTGTTTTTTTCCTTCCTTTTCTGTAGTTGAATGATGTGTTTGTGTATTATCTGTGGTCTCCATTGAGGAGACTGTCTCGGTATGGAGCTGCAAACTGCTTGACATCTGCCAGTTCAAGTCTTAGTGAAGAAAAACCTCATGTTCATTATAGAAATCAAAATTACTTTTTAATATAACCTTGTTTCATGTAAAATTAAGGATAAATGTTTCACAATTTGCACTAATGCAAGAATCAGACAGAAACGCGTTGGTGGCATTGACCATGTTAACTCTTTTGTGCACATAGTCAGTTTTCCTGTAGCAAGGGTTAGCATAGGAAACAGCATTTGAATAATGCAACTGGATTTCATTAGAGACTCATTAGAGACTTGTTCAACTAAAAAAAAAACTGCAGTCATTGTTCATCTCTCAGAAATATGACTGTCAGGTTTGCCATGATGGCATTACTTCGCTTAGGTGTCATCGTTAGAAAGGATACAAAACATTTTCATTGTGATGCAGATGATACCCGGTCTTGTCTATCTGTTAGGTCAGATGACACACAATAATTATTTAAACTACAGGAAATAAAAACAAAGACCTGTAAAACCCCTAACCGGTTGTGGCTGCTGGGTAGCCCTCTTGGATAAAATTTGGATAAAACCGAGTTGATGGCCCAGGTGATAGTGGAGGATGGACAGATGTGTCTCAGAAGGTCAGTGCATATTCTTTCATTGAAGGAGTTGAGAAGCCCAGAATCACAGGTGAGTACCAACCAAAACAGATAGTCTCCAAACGGTGATACAGATAGCTCACTACATACAACAACAACCTGATCAAGAGGTCAATAATGTAAAAATCAGCAAAAGGATTAGGATTAGGATTCAACTTTATTGTCATTACGCATAGAGGGTAACAAAATACTACTCTTGCACTTCTGATTAGATGCAAATTGTAAGTGCAATAAGAGCAATTATATACAGATACGTTACGTATCTGTATATAATTGTAGCTTGCCTCCACCAGTGTGTGAGAGTGAATGAATAGTGGCATTGTAAAGCGCTTTGGGTGCCTTGAAAAGCGCTATATAAATCCAATCCATTATTATTATTATTATTAAACGTAGAGAGCAAATATACAGATGTACTATGGGCAAATGTATGGATATACTGATATATACAGATAAGGGTAGTATAAATGGTCCAGCCAACACGGGTTCCAACCAGCAGGCAAAATCCAAAAACAAGACCAGCCTACTTTCACCTGAGGATGCCAGAATCTATAAAAGGAAAAAAACATACAATATTACAGAGAAAATTACACCAATTGTAGAATCCTTTGGTGACAGTAGGAAGGAAATATGCCATTTTAAGGGGAAGAAACCTCTGGCAGAACCAGGCTCAGAGAGCGGCAGCCATCGGCTGAGATGACTGAGATCAGAACATAGTCAAATAATTCTGATTCTGACGATTAGTTTAAATGAATCAACAGTCATGCTAACATAATCATCATGTTGTAAACCAGGTTTCTGTAAGGTACGGTGGCTGGGAAGTGCAAATCGCAACAAATTACAAAAAAAACCACAACAAATTACAAAACCCCCACAACAAATTACAAAACCCCCACAACAAATTACAAAAAGCCCACAACAAAATACAAAAAGCCCACAACAAAATACAAAAAGCCCACAACAAATTACAAAAAGCCCACAACAAAATACAAAAAGCCCACAACAAATTACAAAAAGCCCACAACAAAATACAAAAACCCCACAACAAATTACAAAAAGCCCACAACAAAATACAAAAAGCCCACAACAAAATACAAAAACCCACAACAAATTAAAAATCCTTGACGGAAAGGGATTGTCTGAAATACCGGAAGTGACACAACGATTAGCCTAATAGGGCTTTGGAGCGTGATGTCACGGGGGTGGGCGTGGAAAGGATTTTGGCCCGATCCGACATTTTGGGGGTCTAAGTGAAAAAGGAGCGAAAGCATAGCCATGGTTTGTTCTTGCTGTGTGGTCCGCTGCAATGTTCGATCGCA